TGTCTCACAGGTCCCTGTCTCACAGGTCCCTGTCTCACAGGTCCCTGTCTCACAGGTCCCTGTCTCACAGGTCCTGCCATGAGGAGCTGGCTGTGTGAACAGACAAACTGTAAGTATGCATCTAAAAGGTAATCATGGCCCATAATGATACATTTTTACATTAAAATTCAAAACATTTAAAGAAAAAAATCTCTGTCTAGCATAACAATGAAATGTCAGATCAAATATGCAATCATTATACTTCTATAGTTCCTATGTGAAATGCAAAATGTAATACAATTTACATGCCCTCTCTTGTAGCCGAAATGGGTTTAATTACTTTTGATTGATGCATTATGGTTCAGTTCAAACTGAAACCAAAATGTGTGTAACAAAATAGTGCTGTTCTTGTGACTTTTTGTATCAAGTTTGTTGGGGATTGTTGCCTTTCTATGAATTACTATTACATACAGTATACATACCTCTGGATAGGTCTCCACGGCAATGCTGAACTACTGGAGGATGAATGGATGAAAAAAAATGTCATGGACAAGGAACTGTATGTTCCTACATGCCAGAACGACCATTCCGGGAGACAAAGAAGGTAAAGCTGAGAGGGAATAACCATTCTGCTGGGAGAAACAATCTGGCTGTCAAAGTGCCCAAAACCACTCAAGATCTCCCCCTACATTGTCAGGAAAAAAGATACCAATTTGTTACTTGTCAGTCAGACTGTACCTTCAAGGGTCTGCCAATTGTACCCTAGCTGTAGGTAAATATACCTTTTAGTCTGATTTAAGGTACAGAAATGGACTCTGAGGAACCATTGGAGTGCATTAATGTTGTGTGTACCTTGGGGAACATGTACCTGGGCTGTACCCTTCTTTCTGACAGTATAGATGTCAAATCGTGTTCACCAGGATGACCATGGACATTGAGGCCCTGTTCGAATGACCACTGAAAGCTCCATCATCCCTCCAGCTCACAGTAAAACCGACACGTTTGACAACACAGGTACAACATTGAAAACGTTGGGTAGATTGGGTAGAACACAGGGTACATTTTTCTGAAAATTGCTGCCCTGTTCCCGGGAATTCCTTCAGATTTGCGATGTCCTCTGTGGAGCTGCACTTCAGAGCAAGGATTGCTGTCAGGTCTGAGTCATAGAAAGTGCCCTGATGTTTTCTTCTTAACCCTGTTCTACATGCACTCCCCCCCCCCATCTAAAAAAGGGCCCGGTTAACAAGTGTCTGTATCATGGCCCCCAAGAGAAGATCAATCAATCATCAGATCAAAACAGTGTAAGAGAACGGGCTAAACAAAGGTCGGAACAAAGGTTCTCATTACGGGGAGAAGAGAAAAATCAGGGGAAAATAGTTCAAAGACGAGTTTCCTCTCTGCCCATTCAAGTTGGATGACTTCTCATAACACCAGTGTTCCTCGCTCGTAGGTCAGTGTGACTACAGGCAACTTGACAGTGCCAATGCTGAACCACAGAAAGGGCTACTCAGCCTTGTCACAGCCATACGAAAACAATCAACTGCAACGTCAGGAACAGCCGGACATTAAACGCCCCACAGCCGCCTTCCATCTCTTCCTGACAGTTAAATCAATGCCATGTCAGCATCTAGCAAATGGCAGTAATTAGTTAGGTCCATTACTGAGATCCATTCATTCTACGTCCAGCTATGATGTAATGCTTGTGACCCTAAGAGCATGAAAATATAAGCAATTATAAAGACAGAGCCACTCTTGCCTATTTCGATTGATTTCGGAATTTTATTGGTGACACTTTACTCGAGGGGCCACAAACAACGTAATATTATGCTATTACTTGTGTATCAATTAACCACAAACTAAGTCTTAGTTACATACTGATCTCTAATAACGTTCGTTCGTTATTAATGAATCATGACGAGTCTTTTTTCTCAAGCAGTTACTATATTCATTACTATATCTGTTCATACTGTAAACCTTTGCGAACTACTGAAGGAACGAGTCACGAATAAAACACGTTAAATACTCATCTTTGTTCATCATTAATGAATCATGATGCATCTTTTATCCCAAGCAGTTACTATATCTGTTCGTTCTGTAAACATTTGTGACCTACTGAAGGATCTACTAATGAACTTCTGAAGGAAGAAGTCATGAATAACCAGTGAAATACCACTCATGTTTATTCATCGTTAATTAATCATTATGTGGCTTTTATCTCAAGTTTCTACTATATTTGTTCATGATTTGTACTTTAGTAGTGATTGAGTTACTACTAAGTATTTGTGTCCCCTCAGGTAAAGTGTAACTATTTTATGTAATGCTAATTCTAATCTTTTAGAATTAAAGCTTATTCAAAATCATCACTATTGTTTTCCATCTTCTGTTAAACTCGGGCACCCAACTAGTTTCCATTTGTGGCCCTTGTGCTTGCGGACCAGTTTGTAATTCTTTGTGGTAATGTTTTCTATACCTCCTTGGATTTTGCACTCTTCTTGTTGTACACGGTAATCTGGGGGAGTCTTTAGCACATTGTACAGCCTCAGCAGGAATTCCTTAGATTTATATCCCATACAGAACCAATTCCATGTTCCTTCTGGGATGTGAACCCATAATCTCCGGGACAGAAATCTAAATTCATAATTGCTGTGCAAGACTTACTGCTGCAAGTTTGGCAAATACAGCCACATGAAAAACATAAATGGTTGTCTCGGTCTAAATGAGGCCAAGGAGTATGAAGGTCTTACAGGATGAACAGCCAAAACCTGGGTCTAAGGTCTGGATACAGACAAACTCTACTCTAGTTATGCTCCAGAATCAGTACCTACTACAGATGACCATCAATATGGCTATATACAATGGTACTGACAGCAGATACATTACCAAGCTTTTATATATTGCATTTTATTTTTTAAATCTCTTTTATATTTATTTTTGGTCACACTAAAAAATGTTACATCAATAGAGGTCATTCTGAAAGCATATTTCACACTACGTTGTTCTGTGGGGAGGGTGGTGACTGGTGTCCTGGTGATTACGTATCTTCTTCGAGTCCAGTGACACCAGCGGAAACCCGATAAATGGCAGTTTGGACCAGAGGAAGCATAACATTTGTTTTCCATCTAGACTCTGGGCAGCACTTTCACAGGTGTGATTCTAATCAGCGCTTTAGGGACCTTGGGGCCTCGTGAGCAAACACAGGTGGCATGAGATCAAACATGCGACCATCGTTTCGGGCTCAAAGCGTAGCCCCAGAGCTGACAATGATACTGTAATCATTTGGGTTTTTTTTTACATATCCCATCTTACTCTGCTGTGAAACTTGCATATCGTGGTGAGAGCAAAGCCTGGGGTCAGAGCATAAGGTCACCCATTTATCCGGAGCCCCTGCAGCAACTTTCAGGGTCAATCTAAAGCAGTGATATAGTTGCTCAAACCAGTGACCACGGGCATAGAGGCCTATCGCATTGAGCCAAACACCATCCCACCGTGTGGGTGTGTAAAAAGTGAGCATCCCACCACATTTCAGTCTAGTAGGTTTGTTTTGGAAATGCTTGCCATTGTCAAAAAAGGCGATATTTATCAGGCTGGACAGTCTGTGCGTATTGGATATATAGCCTGCAGCGTTAGAGAAGCATGTCTGAAAAACTCTATATTTCTGACACAGAGGAGCAGTGGTATGAATGAAGCTGAAGCAGAAGGAATTACAAATTCAAATCCCTGCTCTGTGTGTGTGTGGAGATTTAAGGTTTTTCCTGTGTTGAATAGACTTCTCCCTGTAGTCACACATACAGTTTTGCTGATTGGTGTCCCTAATTTGCCTGAAGTGTGTGTTTATATGAGCTCTGCAATAGACTACCGTCCCATCCAGGGTGTGTACCCCAGTGCTGTGCTCTGTGCTGTCTGAGATAGGAAACCCAGACCAAGATTATATTATTATATATATTATTGTATATTAAAAGTATTTACACAATTATGACAAAAGTATTTGAAACACTTGACACAGAAAGGAATTCTCCAGGGGGGTCCTACCTATGTCCTAATGAAGCAGACATCAACTGGACGACGCCAGTCCACATCCAAACCAAAGTACAATCGAACCCGGTCCGCATGATTAATTCTGCTCCACAATCAATATGATGCCGACCACTCCCCCATCCAGACACAGTGGACCTTGACTTTGTGTTGCTTATGGAATTTAGCTTCAAGCTGGAGATCCCTGGTACATTCAAAATGCTAAATTAAATTGCCTATATGAAAGGTCATGCATCATATGTATGTATACATGTACATGTACTCCCTTTAGTGTGTTTAGCTGTGCTGTGAAATACATGAGAGTCATATCTTTGCAACTGCTTGAACATGCAGTCATATCAGTGTGTGTTTCGGATTTTTTGTGGAATTCATTACAAGTGTCTTCTCAATACACGACTGAACAGCACACCCTTGCGGGAAATCTATGTATTTGTATTTAAATGTATTTTACATTCCGTTCCACCAGTTTGCAAATAAATACACAAATACCAAGCATAGATAGCAGTTCATCAGCTGTGTATAATTCTGTGGTTTGCCCGATTGACAAAAGTGTTGTCAATCACCGACTTAAGAACGAAAAAAACTAAAATCAGTCGGCCATCTGGGGCTTTTGTGTTTTTTATATACATGGTTAATTAACTACATCTGCTATTTCTTATTTCTTGATTTATATTCTGCGTGTAATTTGTGACAAATTTTCAAGTAGTGCACGTTCAATTAATCTGCACAACAGTTTCCCATATTTACGCCACTCTATGACTTGTACCCTTTTACTAGCTTAAATACCTGATCATCAGTAATAATTTATTTATCTTACGGGTCATTTGAATTGCAGTGAAAATGAACATTCACATTACTTTAACGCTAATGGTGTTTTAGTGAAGGGAAAACATACATTATATACTCCTATAAGGATTTGAACGGCGTCCTGCGGTTTTAATAAATACTTTCGACGCACTCCTCGCTATTCCCCCGCATTGACCTTTCCCCTGAGAAACCACTTCCTCCGAGCATTTCATCCGGTCACATTTAACTCATTCGTGAAAAGTTTTCCTTTAAACACTTTGCTCCCTGATGAATCCGATGAAGTAGCATTTGTCTGCATCCCAGTAAATTATAGGAAAGAGAAACAGCTCAAAGATTTCAAAGTATCGGATGAAAGTTTTTTCCCAATGAAAGCCGCTTTACACCGCAGCCTTGCTGTCTGGCTTAGAAGCGCTTATTAGTTTTGTTATATGTAGCTAGCTTGAAAATTTTGCACATCGGAGCATTTAACTAAATAATTATAATTGTTGAATAGTTTTTTTCTTTTTTTTCTCGACTCACACCGACCACGATATACGGGTAAATATGCACATTTGCAATTAGCGCCGCTTTGCTTCCTGCGTTTAATGAAGCAGTTAGCCGAGATGCTAGCCGAGGCCAGTCATTACAATGGGCTGCCGAGCTAGCTGCGCTTTCCTTAGCTTATTGTTCGTCGGCTAGTCGTATTTTAAAGCAAGATCCCACCCGGTTTACGATCAGAAACAAATGGGCAGCCTTTGACTCATTAGCCTTTGCAGTTAATATTTCCGAATGGCTTTCTTTTACATACCACTGTATTCTTTTAACAAAAGAGCTATTATATTTAAGAATTAATGCACCGTCTGATCCCATTGCCTTGGTCCTGTCTGTCTAGCTGATATCGTACCGTAACCTGCCTTCACGTGTCCCACCGCTTCTTCTTAAGTGCAGCCCACTTGCTTCTCTCCGTCCAAGGGATTTTGTGCTGTTTTTAGACGCTGGTTGACAGTCACGTTGCATTATTCCCAAGCGGAAATTCCCGATGAATTTCCATTCTGTCGGGTCTCAGCAGATATTTTAGTCAAACACTGTTTCGTCCAAGTGTCCCCGGGAGATGTTTTACCAAGGGGTGTAATTTATGCTAACCAAATAATCGTACAAGTTCTGTTTTTTCTATGAGTACCAACAATATTATTGTAACATGGTAAAGCTTAACACAGCTTTGTTTTAGAAGAAAATATTAAAGAATCAGGTGAAAAGTACCATCTATAGGACACGCATATATGATGCCATCTAGGATGTACATATTGATAGTATTGAAATACTGGAATAATTACTGCTGCCTCATGACACTAAGTTTAAATCCTTTGCAACTATTCATTCTTTATTCATTATATTATTTAGTATTGTGCTAAATATCTTGTTTTCCATATGCCAAATATATTTAATGCAGCTACAAAATGCGTTTGTCTCCTGCAGTAGAAGAATGAGGAAGAAGCAGAATATGAAACATAGGAAGAACGAGGAAACTACAGTGGTCCAGGAGTTTGTTGTGGAGAAGATCATCCAGAGGAGAGTCTCCAATGGAAAAGTGGAGTACTTTCTGAAGTGGAAAGGCTTTTCTGAGTAAGAGACCGGCCAAGTCATACACCGGGCATATGAAGAAAAAGGATGTCTTACTGATATATGCGCTTCAATTTTGAAGACATGGAGAATCCCATGTATCATAAAATATTGTAGAGTCGACCTTTCCACGTTGCGGGGGTTAATGGCCCAGCCCCCCCCGCGATCTGGAAAAACTGGGTAAAATACGTTGGTCCCGTTGGCGAGTGAAGCAAAAAGATATGAGAAACGCGAGATATCACATGAGAGGCTGCAACAGACACACGTGCCGTCCTCCAAACCAGCACTGTACATATATCTTATGGTTTTATGAGCTGAACATTTTGTGTGTTGTCTCTGGCTTTTTGCAAAACTCCCAAAAATTTCCCATTTAATTTCTTATGCCGACCCAACAATTTATCAAAACTGCCATCAGGAAAGTCATGATGCATGAGGGCCGACAGTATACGATTCCAAATTCTCACACAGACTAATGTAATTGAAGTTCCTGTGATTACGGGAGGCCTGCTGATTACGGGAGGCCTGCTGATTACGGTAGGCCTGCTGATTACGGGAGGCCTGCTGATTACGGTAGGCCTGCTGATTACGGGAGGCCTGCTGATTACGGTAGGCCTGCTGATCTGTCCTTCCAGTGCCGATAACACCTGGGAGCCAGAAGACAACCTGGACTGTCCTGAGCTAATTGAGGAGTTCCTCAAGAGCCTTGCTAAAAACATGGAGGTGGGGGAGGACCTGGAATCCCCACAACCACCAAAACCACTTGAGGTGCCTGCTGACGTGGAACCTCAACAGGTGAGTACCAGCTGAAGCCTGAAGCTCTGAATAGAGCTCGTCAGAATGGGGGCTGAAAATGAGTCAGGCAGATATGTCAAACGAGCCAGACAGACTAGGCTCAGAAGGAAGAAGATTGCTGATATATTCCACTGCAGTTCAACAAAGTAACTTCCACATGCAAAACTAAAATAGTATTAGAGCTTAATCAGCATATAGCGCTCTGGAAAAAATTGAGACCACAGCAAAATGTTCAGTTTCACTCATTTCTCAATTTCAGGGTAAGATATACATTTTTTTGCAAACTCCAGCCTGGCTCTTCCCTGCTTCTCATTCATGAAGGGCTTCTTCCTGGCTTTATGGGACTTCAGTCCTGCTTCTAGGGGCCTGTTATTAATTACACTAGCACTGCACTTCACGCCACTTAATGTTTCCCATTCTTTTTGAAGGTCACTTGAGGTCATCCTCTGATTTATGAGGCACTGCCGGATAAGCTGACGGTCGTCTGGCATTAGAAAGTTGCTCCTGCCCTCTACCTGGCTGGTTCTTGGTTATTGCCAGTGTCTCCTGCTTCACCTCATTCTTGTGTACTGCTGTCTTAGAAACTTTGAGCCTGGAAGCGGCCTGCTGCTCAGTGTAGCCTCTGCCAGCTAAACCACATTTAAACCAGGATTTAACTAAACAGATTTTTTAAAAATATGGAGTTGCCTCTTACTTTATTCCAGAGCTGTACATGCAGAGTCTGAAATTGCACACAACCTTGTTTTTAGGCCAGATGAGATGTTGCTGTGCGTGCTGACTTTATCGTCTGCTATCATTGTCATTATTTTAAGAACACTTTTTAATAATGGAGAGTAACCTTACCATTGTAGTTTGGGTGATGTCAGCTCATTGGTCAGTGATGTTGCTGTGTAACGTTAATGACTGACTTGAAGTAATGTCACTCTCTCGACGATGGTTTTACCCGCGGGGTGATGCTGGTAATTCATCCTGACAGACAGAGCAGCAGCCTCTCGCTGAGCATCATGGGAATGCGCTCCAGGAGCCCTGGGGGCAGGAGACTGAGCGGCCCGCATCCTTCACAAGCCATTTCGAACCCGAGCGGATTATTGGATCCACGGACAAGCAAGGGGAGCTGATGTTCCTGGTCAAGTGGTACAGAAGTTTTCGGTCACATTTCTACATCCGACTTGGAATCGTAAATTTCTGGCATTTTTTTTTGTATGTTTGTCTTGTAGTCATTTTTTAACGAGCTGTGTCGGGGGGTCTCCAACTCCGGTCCTGGAGAGCTACTGACCAGTAGGTTTTCTATCCTACCTGGCTTCTGATGAGCCACACCTGTTCCTGGAACTTACCTGAGAACAGGTGTGACTTATGAGAAACCAGGTAGAAATCAAAAACCTGCTGGATAAGTAGCTCTTCAGGACTGGAGTTAGAGACACCTGACTTGGGCGGAGATTTGAAGCGTGAAATGGCTGCAGCCTTCAAGTCGGGTGAATTTAGATGATAAATACAAGCCGCTGTAATGCTTGGCTCCATGTTTGTCAGCGGTGTGCGTCTCCTGCCCCCCCCCCCCCCACCCCAGGAAAGGCACGGATCAGGTGGCCTTGCTTCCAGCTCGTGAGGCCAGCACAAGGTGCCCCAAGATTGTCATTGCGTACTATGAGGAGAAGCTGACCTGGCATTCTGGGGATGAAGACCAGCAGTGAGGCAAGACCAGAACATGTGGTGGAAAGAACCAAGGGATAGCAGATCCCAGGTGGACCACACTGACCAAGGACTCGACGGTGACATAAATGGCAACTGAAGCCATTTCTTTCCCAGTCCTTCCAGTATGTAGCATAGTTATCCACTGTGAAGAGGTTTCTGTCAGTGTTGTTATTCTGTAGAGTAGAACTCTGTGATAAAATGGTGTGAATGTAAAAAAGAAAAAGTTCTGTTCAGTAAAATAGAAAGGAACCCATTGTTTAGAGACAGATTACCGCAAGGGTAGCATCTTGAAGCACGTGGAAGGGTGATGTGCTCGTCTTACGCATCCCGACAGTCAAACTTTTTCCTCTGAGTATATTCTGGAAAAAAAAATGTAGATCTTACTATTAGAATGACAAACATGGGTCTCATGAGGAAGGCGTCTATGGAGAATGAACGCTGTTACTGTGAAGGTGAGATTCCAGTGTGTGTTTACTCTGAATAACCATATTGTTTGGACACACAGTTCCGCTTACTTTGATATCTTAAAATGATACATTTTGTGCTTTGGTTAATACCCAAAATCAGAATCCCGCACTGGGCACCAGAACACGCAGGCCAGGCCCGGGCGGCACCAGCCAAGGTCGTCGCCCCGAGTGCTGCAGCCTTCCGTGATTAGTGGAGAATTTCAGCTGCTTGTTTTGTTAGCATTTCTATATCCCCGCACTGTATTTGTGAAGAAATGCATATTTACTGCACTTACCTCAAGGTCTGAGAACACTGGGCTGTGTTAATGATAATGTTATGTCTTATCTGTCTGTGATTGTACTAACACTGAGGTAAGAGGTTTACCTAGAATCGGGGTACAAAGTGAGGGTTTTTTTTCCTATTTCATTTTATAGGATTCAAGCTGTCCAAAATGTTCGTCTGATCTGTGGTTGTGTGGTTTATTGGTTTTGTGTGGAAAAAGTTGTTTCTGTTCAAGTCGTAGGTTAAACCAGAAACGTTCTGATTGTTTTTCGTCTGAAATGTTCTTCAAGTGTTGTTCTTGCTGTGTTTGTTTGAAATTTCTATTTAAAGACCACAGCTGAGGTCCTAATACCAAACACACTGGATTAAAAATCCATTGAAGGCAAACCTGTGTGTCACATTTCATTCAGAGCAGTAACTGCATCAAAGCAGCATCAGGTTTGAGCAAAACTATTAATCAAGTGTTTTGTTAGGCCTATTTTAGGGGGGCTGTAACCCCCCCCCCCCCCCCCCCCCAAAAAAAAAGTGTTTTCATTGGCTTCAGTCATGAATAGCTTTTTATATTGTATATAAGTCTGTCCCCACCCACATATAAGGACCAAACCCCCCTATCCATTCATACCTAACTACACCCCTGATACTAATGCAGGAGTATGGGTGCCTTTTGCGACAAATTAAGTTGAACATTTCCTGACACTTATTGATGTATAATATATTCGGGCTAATATATTTCTGGGGCTCGGAGGCGTGCACGCCTTCAGGGTTGCCAACTCACGCATCTGGCGCGAGCTTTAATAAGATTATCACGCTCACGCAAGAAATATTATGGTAAAGATCTATATTATAATATTATAGACCTAAACGTATTCCACAATAATTCTAATATTTGCTATATCAAAAGCGTTGTGGTAGTTTGCAAACCCTACAGACTATTTACAAGGCAATGAGACCTCAGTTGGCAACCCTGCACATTGCCGTTCTGGTGCAATGTTTTATTATTTTGATGAGCCTTTATCAGATTAAGGGTTAGTTAAGTGGTGCTTAATGACTTCCCAATAAGCCCATGTCGTCACTATGGCTGCGGTTGGGGGTTCGGCGGCTCGGCGAGGAGGAGCCAGCGGCGCTGACATCGGCGCGCCGGAACCGGATCAGCGCGCCGGCCGAGTTCCTCATGCGGATTCTCCGTCAGGTAAGGCAGGCATGTCCGAGCCGCTCTTAAAATGAATGAAAATAGACTACCTGCAATTACAGACAAGGTCAATTTTGCACGTAGTATCATTTCCGACCTATATGCCAAATAGAGCAGATTTCGAGATTTTTTTTAAATAAATCTGTAAACCTCAAGTAGATAAAGCCGTGTAGCGTACGCCGAATTAAATCTTAATTAGGGAACTAAAAAATTAGACAACTTAAAAAAATTGCGCTCTTCTTTTAAAAAAAGACAGATGTATGCAGACCTATACAACAGATGAACATAAAACATCTCGTTTTGTTAAAATACGTTATAAAACGTAAAACAGTTCAATTTGATCCAACACCGCTTCAGTTTGCAGATTGATATTCAATAGTCGAATAACGGAATTTTAAAAAGCGTCGTATGGTGAAAATAGTGGGGAATTATTGTTCATTCTGACCGGTTCACATGTCGGGCGATGCCTTCATGGCTTAAGTATGTTTGATCAAGTCTGGTATCTTTAGATGAGTCCCAGCGGTTAAACGGCATTATGGTGATCAATCTCAGTGCCATGACGAAGAAAAGAAAACCGAGTAATCTGTTGTAAACACTTAAACGTGTTCATGTTTAAATCAGTTGTCCCAAATCTATTATATTTATTCGCATTAGAGAATTGATGTTTGTTTTCTGTGATTTGTGGTTTTGTGGGGTTAAGCAGCATTGCAGTGTCATCGTACCTGCTGCGGGGCTGAAGCGCACTAGTTACTTTTTGTTTACTGCCGAACACCGAATGTTTCACTCTGCATCCGCAGGTGACATGAAAAATGGTGTCACACATCCTGGCCCAGATCGAATTTAACTCGACGTCTAATTTCTTTTCGTTTTCGATTCCGTCCTGTGACTTGGAAATTAGCCCGAGAGGATAAATGTTTGTGGGGCAAGTTGTGTCACGTTAAGAGGTTGTTGTCACGACTCCCTCTGTGAGGATGACGGGAAAGTGCCCAGAATAAAACAACAATGAGACAAGTATCTGTATTTGCTGGAATGTGTTTGTTTCTATGTCGTTTAGTCGTGTAATGACGAGTTTCCTTGTGCAGCAATGAGTTATGTGTTGTGTGTTTTTGGACCGTATTCTTCTAAGACTTCTTCATCATCCTTTGGTGGTATTGCTGACTCATCGTGCGCGTGCGTGTGTGCGCATGTACCAGCGCATCTCTTTGGTAATGTCTCCCTAAATGTCTTCACTCTCCTGCCAGCAGATCTGAATATAAGGAATGGAAGACGTGCCTTACAGCCCGAGACAGGTAAGATGTTCTCTAGCAATGTTGTTTAGAAGTTAGTCTTTCGGTGAAGATGGTGAGACAGAAGGCTTGCATGCATTGAGGGTTCGTCACACAACCTGTAAGTAGCGCGCATTGTGTGTCATTCTGCGAAACGAGTCTAATGTCAAAAACTGAATGTAAACAAAACAAAAAAAATCCTAATTACATAGAAAGAAACACTTTATTGTCGTTGCCTTTGTACCTGTACTTGTGGAGAGATTATGTAGTCTACCAGAATTGTAAATTTTTTAGCAAGATGAACAGAATCCAGTGGATGTTATGTGATTACTAAAAGATATTGTGTGTGTGTGTGTGTGTGTGTGTATAGAGAAAAAGGGAAGCTTATAACTGGTGACGAATTTCGGTTGCTTAGGGTCACTCATCTGAGAGTCACACAGACACAACTAAGCTGCTCTTATGATTTTGCAGGAGATTATTAGTGTATGGGTTCGAGATCCACACATACGGGGAAAAGACTTCTGGCATGCCCACATAGATTATGAGATCTGTATGCATGTAAGTATTTCAAGAATTGTTTTTTTGCAAACAATTTTTTAGAGAGGAAATTTGATATGCAGAATTATAACCCCGGAATTTTTCCTCGTTGTCTCACACTTCCTCATTCCAGTGTTTGTACAGTGAATAGTAAAATGACCATACATAAGGTGTTCACAGCTGTCTCTTGCTGTCCAACCTCTTCCAGACCAACAGCATGTGCTTCACCAAGAAGACCTCCTGCGTGCGAAGGCGATACAGCGAGTTTGTGTGGCTAAGGCAGAAATTGCAAGAAAACACTCACCTCATGTAACTACATTCCTTATTTCACAGCTACCTGTAAATGTCTTTCGGTATATTTCATGCATCCAAAAAACATCTGTAGCACAGAATAGTCACTTCCAGTTTCACTTCCACAAAAATCCACATGCGTAAGCACATTGTAACGCATTTGTAACTTTTCGTCATTGGTACAGTTCCATTTCAGATAGAATTAGTGACCCCACCCAATACTAAACATGCAGCGTTTTTTGTCGTATTTCAGGGAGCTACCTGCACTACCCCCAAAGAACCCTTTCTTCAGCCTTAATAACTCCCACCAAGTCAACAAGAGAATGAAGGGACTACAGCACTTCCTGGATGCGTGAGTGTCAGTCAGCCAGTCTGAGTCGTTAAAATGAAACAGACCACATCACTCTTTGTGTGTTCTCTGTGATCAGTACGAAAGATTACCCAAAATACTAAAGAGAAATTATTTCCTGAAATATGGCAATATTTAACCATTTTTGCAAGAACTGGTGTATTATAATGAACCACAAGGAAATAAGAACAAAAAACCTTTGCTTCTACAATGTACATGAAACCAGTTTTAATCAAACGGCACTGCTGACCAGTGACTTTTATCGCAGGCAGATATTTTGTTTTGGCAGATTTTTGGCTGATGCTCACATCGAAATATAAGCCCTCGTAATCTTGCTGTGGTTTTGGGTTTGCGCTTCCTGCCAGCAACAAAGGGTTTTTGTTCTGGATTTACTTTCAAATGTAGCAGTGGCTACAGAGTAGAAAGAAATTCCTTGTGTGATTTGTTGGCGCAGAAGCACAACACTATATTTGGTGCGACGATTTTGCCATCTTCAAATTTTCGTTATTAGCTGAGTGATGAGTTTAAACGTGGCGGCTAGAAAATGTGGATAATAAAGTAACGATGCTATTTGGGGTCTTAAAATTCAGACCTTGAGAAAAGCCGAAGGCAGAGATTTACTGCTTTCATACTTCCTGTCCCCTTCTAATGAAAATCCCATTTGGAGCCTTTTCTGAGTTTGGTGCTTCCCCTGACTGTCTCCCGTCAGAATCGTCCAGAAACCTCTGGTGCTGTCAGACAGCTGTCTGCACCTGTTCCTGCAGTCGCAGCTCAGTATTGCAAAAATGGAGGCTTGTGCCTCGGGGAGGACCAGCTATTCTGTTGCGCAAGCTATCCAGAGCTGCGGGAGTGGCATCCAGCGTTTCCGCTCTGATGAAGATCTGTCCGACCTGGGGAAAGACTGCGGCGACTCAGACTGTGAGAGGTATGACAGCTAATCTGCTGAGAGCTGCATTGTGTTATCAGTCATCTGCCAAACTGAAAAATGAACGCGATGCAGGTTAAACATCTACTTTTATAGGGAAATGTTCACCTTATTCAGCAAGCAGTATCACTTCAGTCAGTCTACAGATGTATGAATCAACACCTGTCAGGATTTCCTTTGCCCTGAACCGTCAAGCCAGCCTTCAGTATAAATCTGTTGGGGGTGGATAAAAATAATTTAACATTTCCTATATTTAGTTATAGTCTATAGTATAATAGAAGACTTTCAAATAAAATGCACAGCTTCTGCCATGATATGAGTGGTGCTCAGAGGGTTAAGATGCTGTCTATGACTAGTAGGTTGCTGGTTCTAATCCCGGGATAATTTCACTGTTGGGCCTGTCAGCGTTGTCCGTGACCCCAGCTGCTCCACGGAATCTGACCGTCTTCTCAAAAGATGCATGTTGCTTTGGATTAAATTCTCTGCTAAATAATTAAATTAGATGTTAATTTGATAAAATATATGAAGTGTCCAGATGTCTCCAGGGAAGGCTAGCCTCTCCAAATTGTGCACCGTACTTGACAATTTTCTGGGTGCTCGTTTTAGGGCCTTATGACTTAGCAGTAATCGGCATATGGACTCGTATCTTCAGAATCAGAGGAATTTATTAATCCCAGAGGAAATTGCTCATCTTGAACAAAAAATGTCTTGAGGAATCCCTACTCTGATATCAAAGGGGCGAGTTGTCACTCATTGTAAGAAAAATGAATTTATGGCACCTAAACCTTTGTGTGCTGATGAGCCCTACCTTTCCGTGCCCTGTGTGAAGCAGCAGCCTTTGTACTCTCTCTCCATCTATCTGCAGCACGGCTTCCTCAGGCCTGGGGCTCAGCTGTGACACCGATTTACCCCGTGAGGAGCAAAGCGCTCAAGCTAGCGGTACCTCTGAAGACGAACCCAGATAGTGAGCATGTTTGATGGGGGACCAGCTTGCCCCTAGTCCTTCTCAGGCCACAGCACTTTCATGTTAAGCTGCTATATGATGCTGTTATTCCCAGGAATGCTGTTCATTTCTCCTAAAATCCACTACTTTTATGCTAATGCCTTTACCTCTATAGTGTTAAAGGCTTTCGACTTTAACTTATTTTTAAAAGTGTACACGTTTTTTGCTGACTGCTAGAGTAGATTTTTTTTGATAATCTACTTTTATGTTGAGTACATCAAGAACCAAAGTTTTATTTTCTTGTATTGCAAAAAAACATTATTATGGAGTAAGTGTCTTTGTCATGTGAGCCTAAGATAACAGCACTCTTTGTGAATGAACGGCCTTCAAATGTGTAAAAAACTAATGGGATCAAATTGCAAACTAATAACTCTACAAAATGGACGTATAGTCTTTAATGTGTGAGTGAATTTTAGTGTTTTAATTTATTGTGAATGCTTTGTGCTATGGTCTTCCAGCCTGTACTAGCATATTGGGTTGGTAAAAGATTAAGTAAACAATGTCTTTTCTGTGTACAAACTACTTGGATTCTGCAAATAAAGGCCGCCAAGTTCAACGCAAGGTTCTTTCTGGCTGTTTGTTCATGGGGATTGAATCATACCTGCTTAGCACTGCATCTGTCTGTTTAGAGCGTATGCATAACCACAGTGCAGATTCCAAAGATGTTCCCGCATTAAGGACGATGATATTCAAGCAAGATGTGATTTCTATGAATGGAACTCAGGTGGGAAAAAAGACTGCTTTAGAATATTTGTGCAGCACAAATGTTTTGGTGCAATTAAATACCCGTACTGTCATTTTTATTCAGTCAGTCACACTTATTCATGTTAATACTGTAACCGCAGAGCAAAGCATAGGTGAGTGTATGCTGTTCTCACAGAGTGAGCACGGGCGTGGATCAGTGATGGTTTGGGCTGCAATATCATGGCATCTCCTAGACCCAACACTTGTTCTAGATGGGCACGTCACTGCCAAGGACTACCAAACAATTCTGGAGGACCATGTTCACCCAAGGGTTCTACATTGTACCCTGAAGGTGGTGCCGTGTATCAGGATGATAATGCAGTAATACACACAGCATGACCGGTGACAGAGTGGTTTGATGAACATGACAGTGAAGTGACCTTCACAGACACCAGATCTGAATATTCTTGCGCCACTTTGGAGCATTTTGTAGAAGTGAGTCAGGAAGCATAGTGACATGTGCACTGCTCTGCAAGAGGAATGGCTGAGAGTCCCTCTGACCATGTGCAGGACTGGTATCTATCATTCCCAAGACTAACTGATGCTGTATTGGCTGTAGAAGGAGGCCCTACACCACACTAATAAATTATTGTGGTCTAAAACCAGCTGTTTCTGTTTCATTGTCCAACCCCTGTAACTTTACATTATAGTTTTAGTGAGCTTAATATGTTCAAATAGCATTTTATCTGATTAATAGGGGCACTTTGCACCCCCTTTAAAATCAGCTATTGAACGAAGCTGGCTTTGGAAAGGTTTCTATGTTTTTGCAGAAAAGACTCAATAGACATAAAACGTATCATATTCTGAGGTCCAGGATCGGTGTGTGGGCAATTTGTGCTTATACCGTTCTTCAGTGACACCTACTGTGCATTGGGTGAACAGCAAGAGGCTGGTTTCTGACAATACGTGCACTGCTTGCTGGACTGATTTTACCCCGTCTTAGGTAGCTATGGTGCTGGCTGTGAAGGGATTGAGCTCAACAGGCTTTCCGCACAGGCAAAAAAAATGGCTCTAACGATTGATGAATGTAAAGGTGGAACGTAGTTGGAACCAAGAAATTGTGTGTTATAAACGGGGATCTGAATAACTGGTAGGCAAGTAGGCATAAGGGTTTCAGGGTTAAATAGGCGGGTAATGTCACAACAGCACAAATGCGTTTTTCTCCCAGTTTTTTTATAAAAAAAAATACATAAATACCTTTTTGTCAAAACAGTACAACTGCGCGAAAAAGTATCCTCCTCCCCCGGCACACCAGATTGGTTTAGCAACGCGCAATTCGCGGGTAAAGTTAAATGAACTCGGAGCAAAATTAACTGTCCTTCCAGTCATCAAAAACAATGACAAAAAATGTAATAACATCACAATCTAGGCGGGTAATCGGGCTCCCAGAGAGACTGATGCCCGGTGCGGCTGCATCGCAAGATGGATCAGAGAAACCAGGCACAGCAGTGTCTGCATGAGCCAGCCGTCGCTGCTGTAAGATGGTAAGGGGGAAAATATGTGGTATTTGGTAAAAGACATAAAACCAAGATTTGTACCGGGTCTTATTTCCTAGTGCTTTAGCTTCCTTGGACTCATAATGCGGGTTGAAGATGTTGCGGCTGCCTACGCCTTTCTGAACAGTAGGGGGCAGTTATGCTATTTTGTTCAGACATTTTCGGGCTATTATGCAAACCGCAGACACGTGACCCTGCAGTTAGGGGACCTCGTCAATTTTAGCCCAACAAACAAAAAACGCTACACATAAAAAGTTTATTGTCACCATTATAATCATTATTGTTATTATTTGTTGTTATTAGTATTGTTATATTATTAATATATATCGTCATTTCCCCATCCATATTTAATAAACATATTTAACGAGCTAGCACAGACATTAACTATCTGCTATAAATGTTTTATAAGAGCTATGAGAATTAACTTATAGCTTATGCTACAGAACACAAGGTCATCTGCTGAGTAGTATTTCTGGGCTCTGCTTCTTGAAAACGTTTAATATGCAGTAAACCCCACCGTTGGCTAAACTGCTGAGCCACGGTTAGAGGACATAAAGAACATTAATACTTGTGCACCAAGGTGTTATGTTACAAGAGAAACAGAAAATTTACATCCGTTTAACAGCATTGTGGCTGTCGTTACTGGTATATCTGGGTTGCGGCATTTTAATGTGGCCCTACAATAAGAACCTGGCCCAGAAGGCGTTTCAGTGTGGAAGTACGACATCTCCAGTCCGTCCAACTCAGCAGAGTGCTAGTTAATTATCTTCCAGGCGAGGGTCTATAACATCTACAAGATAGCCTTCCCCCCGCACCGCAGCATGACCTAAATGGGCACACGGTGGGTGGCAGCGGCCCCCATTCTGGCACTAGATCACCTCACAGTTCCACCTTGAGCTTCTCTCCTACAGGCACCAGAACTCTGTTATACGCCTGACACTGTGTTTTTTTCTGCTGATGGGAGGAATTTTTAATAAGATCTCAAAGGAACCTGCCAGCTTGGTTCTGAAGTGCTATTTCTGGCAGATATTGCGATTGCGGTCGGGGGGGGGCAGTTCCCAAAGTGATCCCCCTGGGAACCCTCCCACCAAGACGTGTCAGTGTCAGCCTGATGACAATGATGAGCCAGCTCTCACCACATGCCGAGTGTGCTGGCCTCTCACATCACCTCACCTCTTCTTCAGCTCTGTGTCAACCACACGGTGCACGACTGCAGCATAAGCTCCTCGTGCACAACAAATGAAAATCTATAAGAAGATTTCCTTGTTGGAGACCCTGCAGAGGTCTCTCCTCCTAGTATTTCAAAAAGATACTCCGCTGGGACAAAACCTATTTTCTCTGTAGAACCAAAAGAAAATGTCAGAGAATAGGTGAAAGGATGACAGTGGTTTTCGAATTTTCGAATCAGGGACAAAATGTGAGCATGCAGCTCTGTACTCTGTACATCTGTATATGTGCGTCTGTGGCTTACCTTTGTGTACACTAAAGTTCATGTGCCCGAAGATGGATGGATATGGGATGACCTTTGTGTAATGTTAATTGGATTACTTTGTCATGCGGAAGAGTCTTATAACATTTTTTACGAATTCATAATTACATATGGACAAAAATGGCTTACAAGATCGATGGGGGCAGGGCAGCAGATATTACGGTAAATTGGGGAAGGGAGGTGGGATGGCTTATTAAAGGATACAGAGGCTGCCGGGCGGGGCGGGGCTGCCCCATTCACGCAGACCTACATGTGAAACCGCTGGTGTTTCCGCGCTTGGAGGTAATTACGCTGTCAGAGGAGCCATGTGTGCCGCAACATAATATTTGGATGGTCTTAACCCCAAACAATCATACTGAACCATTCTGGGGGGGGGGGTTAGGTCAAGCTTGTGTGTCAACCAATCAGACATGTAGGATGAGCATGCGACCTTTCCATCGAGCAAGCGAGATTGCCTCCCGCGATAAATACACACCCATTTTCTTCGTTCGTGTGCAGATGTCTTCCTATCTTCTAACGTCTGACAGTGAAGCCACCTGAAACTTATCTTCCTAGGATGCACACATCTGTGCGCTCAATTACAGCTACGCGATAGCGTCACGTGGAGGATGATCTATGTCTGCTGGGAGTCTGCGCTCCTGCCCGTGTACGTAAATTTGCTAATGAAGCTAAGGGCCGCTGTAAAAACATCACAGATCGACGCGTGTTTTCATCTGGGAGAAACAGTGACCACCACATGGAAATGGTCCAGTTTTCCAAAGCATTATTAGTATGTTAAAGCAAGTATATAATTTGTAATATATAATATATAATTTTTGTTCAAAATGTCATTTAAAAATTGAACCAGAGTATACAATACAAATACAATAAACACAGTAATCAGCAATATAATGGAAAGAAAGTCTGCATGTATTGAAAGAAATCTGGATATAATTTAATTATCAAACACTTTTATCCAAAGTGACATACTGTCAAAAGCAGGGTGACATGGTCTCTGGAAGTTAATGCCTTGGAGTTTCTGGAATGATGAAATAGCATAGATGTATGGAGTGTATAATATATATTTTTTAATGTATAATATAATATAGTTGCTGCTTTCTGAGGGTACGTCCACATCCTGGTGGTGCTCTGGACTTGTGCACCATCACCCTGGCAACCGCTCATACAAGCCTACGCCGTGCGACACCAGTGCTTCCCTGACAAGCATTCTGTGATGTGCCGTGGGGGAACATCTCACCCTTCCCGCACTGTTTATGTGATGATTTCATTCTCTGGGGGGGGGGGGGGGGGGGCTATCTCCAAGAAGGCAATATGCATGGAAACCCATCAGCCATTTGAGGAAAGGCTACTGTCAGACGACTGAACTAGGATGAACTTTGGAAGATGAAAGAAATAAAAACAGAATGGGACTGAGGCATATTTTACCAGAAGATGTTATTCATATTTCATAAGCGAATGCAGGGGACAGTCACTGTTCCTAAGCAGGGCTGCCAACTTCGGGCTGGAGCGAGATTTTCAATTCTACACAAGTCTGCATGCATACACACATGCATTTTCATGCATGTAACAGTTTTATTACCTTGTAAATAGTCTGTCAGGTCTGCAAACTACCGCTACGCTTTTGATGTAGCTAATTTTAGGTTTATAATAGCATAATATAGATTTCTTGCCCGAGCGCGAGAGTCTGTAACTGTGAGTGTCACTCCAGATGCATGAAAGTTGGCAGCCCTGCTATTTTGGTGCCGTGCAGTTAAATAATGTTTGTCAGCAGGTACAAATGTAATCATGTGTTTATATTTCATAGCCACCGGAAAGGTAAAGATAATGACAAC